GGTGGAGGTGCTGCAGGGTACACCCCATGCTCCCCCATTCCTGGCACCGCTTGGCTCCCCAACAACCAGGCTGGGAGAGGGCTTGGCACTCACACCCTGGGATTGGGGTGCCATGTTGCGTGTTTTTGGGTCACGAGATTAAATCAGGCCAGGGAGGTCTCAGGGCGCTGCCCAACCTCACCCTAGCGAACAGCCTGCCAAGGGGAGGGGGGTCTTCTCCCCAGGATTCGTTGCCCCCTCAGCCACACACCACCCAGTAACGAACACATGGATGCAGAGGTGACCATCGCCAGGTCCACGGCGGAAGACCCTTCCCCAGGACCACGCATCTCCTAGCCACAAACCCCACGGCCCAAAGGGGCAGGAGCGTTCAGATCCAGCCCTGTTGGAGCCCTCCCAAAACTCAGGCTCTTACTCGGTAGTCGCTGGAGGTCACGTAGAAGATGGGCAGGAAGGCCAGCCAGATGATGCAGGTTGTGTACATGGTGAACCCGATGAACTTGGCCTCGTTGAAGTTTTCGGGGCATTTCCGTGTCTTGAAGGCGTAGACCGTGCAGAGGACGATCAAGAGGACGTTGTAGGTGAGTGAAATGAGCATGTTGGAGTCGCGGCTGTTGCACTTGAGGGTGACGATGTACCGCTTGTCGGGCTCGGTCTCCTTGCCCGTGCCGGGGGTCTCCACCAGCAGCCAGATGACGACGATGATCAGCTGGCAAGAGATGAGGGCCATGCAGATGATGACCTGCGACGTGGGGCTTATGAACCGGGGGCGCTGGACCCCCTCCTTCACCCCGCTGAAGATCCTGGCGATGCGATTCGTCTTGGTCAAGAGGGCCGAATAGCAGACGGCGAAGGACGTGCCCAGCCCCAGACGCCGGAGCGTGCACACCTCGGTGGAAGGCTTCGCGATGAAGATGAAGGTCATGCTGTAGCACATGAGGACCCCGGTCAGGAGAATGTAGCAGAGCTCCCGGCCGGAAGCTTTCACGATCGGGGTGTCGTTGTTCTTCATGAAGACTCCGAAGACAAAGAGGGTGGAGAGAAAACCCAGGCAGGAGATAGTGACGGGGCCGATGGCCCAGGCGTCTTTCCAGCGGATGTACTCCTGGGGCAACTCGTAGCAGCCGTTCAGGGTCTCGTTGGGCCAGTAACCAAGACCGCAGTCCATGCAGGTGAACTCGTCCAGCAGGTACTCGTAGGGCTGGCAGGGGATGCAGATCCAGCAGCATATGTCTCCGGGCTGCATGCTCTTTATCTCGTTCTTCTTGCAGGGGTCGCTGCACTGGGACACAGGGATGGAGGCCTCAGCCCACGGGATGAGGCTGGTGTTGAGGATGAGCCCCTCAGCCCAGTAGCCCACCTTCTGATACTGGTGTCGCCCGTCCACACGGTGGTAGTTGAAGATGTTG